TTGGTGGCAACATCTAGAATACGAGAACCAGTACGCGTATGCAGAGAAACACAAGAACAGACACTTTCGGAACTCTGCTCGGACCTCTGCGATCAGCGCTGGACCCCTCTCCCTGGTGCGCGGGGCGCCAAGCAATCCGCGCGGACCTCCGAAAAAACAGCCGATCCAAGCAATCCGCGCGAACCTCCGAGAACGCATGCTTGTGCAACTTCGCTCTAACGACATCCCTGTTTAGGCATCCCATCGCCAGCGCAGACGTCGCCTGCACAGCCGCCGACGCAAAAAAAGCTTGTGCAGATTATTTCTCCTCGGCTGGGAACGACGACCGCTGACGACGAGCTGTGCCCAGGCCCATCTCGAAAGGGAAACAGTTCAGCCCAGTATCTCTGCGCCGCGGCGTCTGTCAGATGGGAGCTCCGCCACCCGAGGGATCGCGAAAGGTGTAGGGTGCCGGGGAGGCCGCGGTAGAGGAGGAGGACGACGTGGCGGAGGGAGGACGAGCATGACGAGCAGGAGGACGAGCAGGACGGCGAGCATGGAGGAAGCACAACTGCAGAGAAGTAACCCCTCGGCGCTGCGCGTCGCCACGGACATGTCGGGCAAGATGGACGGGGCTGAGGGGGGGACGTGCATGGCTTGCCTCGCCTCGCGAACTGGGCGACACTCACCGCTTCAGAGCAGCGGTCGAGGGCAACAGTGCCAAAAGCAGCAGCAACGCATGTCCACGACAATCCGGCGACACGGGTGCCAAGGCCGACAGGGACGCTGGATAGCAGGAGGGACAAGAAGAGGGAGGAGGAAAATGACCGTAGGCCTACTTATGGCCAGTTCCCGAAGGACACGAAGGCGAAGGAGATCAGCACCTTTTATCAGAGACGTGCTTAACTGAGTGGGGGGGGACCTAGAAGAGATGTTTTGCATACGGCCGAAAGTTTGCACAAAGGGGCGGAGCTAGATTCAAAACTTCCGATGCCATGTGGAGGTACGTGGGCGCGAGAGCTGGCAATCACAATCACGAAAGCCAGCGCAAGCTGCTTTATTGCAATGTGGACTCCAAATATCACGGCAGGAGTTCGAAAATTCAGAGGAGGCGGGGAGGGAGAGGGCAGTGAGGATATCAGTAAAGAAGATCATCGAATCGAACGGCGGGGACGGCAAACCTATCAAGCAGGAGATCGACACGAATTAGAAGGAAGGTGTGCTTGGTCGAAGGACGAGCGTGCAGCGGTGTTGGCGGAGGGGGGGACGGCGGCATGACGCACCTAGGGGAAGTGGCGGCGTGCCAGGAGAAGTACGATTTGCTACACGGCCGATAATAGATATCAGAGAGATCTCGGCGAGGGCGCCGTGGGATGTATGTGTGGTGACACTGACATGCATCAAGTAAGCCTGGAGCCACGCAAGGACCAACCTGCAATTGGCGAGCCCGTACGCGAAACCTTGGCTTGTGCAGCAAGCTGGAGCAAGACTCAAATGAGGGCTAGGCCGAGGAAGGAAGAGGAGGAAGCCAAGAGGGGTAGATGGGACAACGTGGTCGCAAACCAGCAAGGCTGCCACGCCCGCGTCGGCTGCTCAAATCCCTCGCCCATGCCAGAAGTAAGAAAGCACCGGCCACAAGGGGGGGGGAAAGGGGGAGAAGGCAAGAGAGATTTGTCACGTCGCATTGGTGTTAGGTCAGGCCTGTCCCCCTACAAGGGGGTTTTGGGCGAAATAACAAACACGCAAAAAAACATTCAAAAATAGTCATGAAAACGTCCCCATATCATTTTTGGAGACGACCCTCCTGTAGAGGGACAGGCCCGACTTGACATTGGTGTCACGCGGAACACCCTGACAAGGATCACGAGGCAAGTTCACATTGGATGTTGAGACGGCGATTCACCGGGCGGGGAAAGCAACCCGCCGAGAGGTCGTGGATTCTGACACACGCACACACACACACACACACTGGGCGCGGAAAGCAACCCGCCTAGTGGTCGTGGGTTCTGGCACACACACACATGGAATTGTGGGTCGGCGTATCTCGTCTGACGATCCCGATGTCATTGGCCAGCATGGTGCGGGGGTGCGCAATCCTAGGGGGGGACCTCGTGTGGCGCACTGGCTACATGGTATGCGGGGGGGTGGGGGGCCGCCGACTTCTCTTTTCGATCCTTCGTGGGGTAATGTGTGGACACACCGGTTGTACAACACACCCGCGCTATGACAAATGGATTCCATGCTTGTTCCTACCGCTCAGGCTTGAAGCTTGTGCAAGCTTGCATGTTCGCATATCTAGAAGGAATGACAGACCAGCCAGCAGGCTATCTTCATCCACTTGCCTGTCTCGATCGATATGCCGGCACAGAGCTCGAAAATATGGGTGATGCGTGGTTGGCAACCTCAATTCGACCAAAATGGGAAACAGGCGGCATTCCATGCGGCCGCTCTCGCCAGAGGGCACGGTACCGTGACGGAGGTGAACGCAATGATTGTGGACTCGGCCTGGGCTGCCAGAGACATCGCGTTGAAGCCTAAGGAAGAACACAACTCAGGCATCCAGAACTTGTGAAAGGCGAGGCGGGAGGAACGAGATTCAGAGAGACGACAAATCACTATCCAAAGAAGCCCTGGCGAGAACTTCGGAAAGAAAGACGGTTCACGACAATCACGTGAAAGTGTGAAGATTGCTGAACACGGGCAAGGTGTAAAGGCGTTGCAGAGAGTGCAACACTGGCATGCTGGCATTGACCAGGTTGGGGCAGTTTTTTGGGCGACAGTCCAGGAGATAACGCAGGTAGAGGACATCGCCAAAAGTCTTGATCGCTTTTACGAAGGTCTGCACAATAAGGACGGCTCCGGCGACAACGACCGCCCTGAGGAGCAGCATATGCCCCCCCTGGTGGCAGCAGCTTCTTCCGGCGAAGTGTCCATGAAGAATGGGCGAACAGACCATGAAGGATTGATTTGCGCTCTGGCGGAGTACTTCTCAGACCTCTTTCGAGGTAGAATGGATCCGGCTTCGGAATGGACAAAAGCGCGCCCATCGGGTATTATCAAAATGGTGACTGGAGAAAAGCGGTAAACTCCTGGTGATGGCGAAGCTTTTCAGTATCATCTTACATCTACGCTTGCAGGAGGCATATGACAGGCGTACCTCACTGAGGAACAGTACGGCTTCCGCAGAAGCAGAGGCTTTGACGACGCTTTACATGTTCTCCGGTTGGTCGCAGAGAAGACAACTGAGTGAAGCTCGGGGTACACAGAGTTACCCGCTATCGGCTCTTCGCAACTCTGACCAGCACGGGGGCGGACGTCAGCTTAGTTACTAAGGCTTAGTGAGCGTCATGCGAAAACTGTGCCGGGGGATGACCGCGTACGTGAAACTAGCATCCGGGGTGGGAAGTAAACGCTTCGAGGTGCAGAGGGGGCGTAGGACAAGAAGGCCCTTTTTTATCACCAGTGTTGTGAAATCTGGTGGAGGTGAAGCTGCTGCGCGAGGTGAAGGCGGTCCGGGCAGCGGCGCAGGCACGGCACCCGGGTAGGGGAAGCGGCGTGGGGCGCTCGTCTCACACACGCAGCATGCGACACAACGTCGATGGCTACAGTCATCGGCCTGACCTAAGGAACGATAAATCAGGAACGAAGCCCCTTTTTTATCCCAAGGAATAACGCATAAGGAACGATCAATAACAAATAACGCATAAGGAACTGTAAATAACGCATGCAAACCTAAGGAACGACCGAGCCCCTTTTGAAAAGCAAGTGTTCCTTATTCAAGCCGCTCACTGTAGGACGTGGCTTTCGTTGAAGCGCATGGTGCTCATGCTCCAGGAAGCCTCAGCGAGGTGGGGGCCGAGGCTACACCCAACAGAGTGCAAGCTGCAGACAAACCGGACTGCCGGAATGTTGTGGGGGGCGTCGTTCGAGATGACGGGGACAACCTTTGAATCTTTGGGTCTGCGTTATCGTTGTTCGACGTCACCGGCGTGGACGTTGAGCACATAACTGGTATCGCCTGGATGAAGTTCTGGGCAACGAAATCCCTGCTCATGAACCAGAATGCGTTTGCCTTCGAGCAGCTGAAGCTGCTCGACTCCTCCGTGGGGGGCTGCATGCTCTACAGGGAGTGTTCATGGACGCCGAGAGCTGCAGAATACAACGCAATCGAGTCTACCAGGGCAACATGTTGCGGCGCATATGCAGAATTCGGCGAGCACCGGACGAGCCGTGGCACGAGTGGATCGGTCGCACGACGTACTAATGAAGGCTGCTGGCCAAGCGCGCTGTCATGCGGGATTGGGTGCAGGCCCAGGCGAGAGAGAGACAGAGAGAGAGAGAAGAGAACAACAAAAACGCAGCCAGGATGCTGGCGACGTCGTGGGCATGGCGCGCAAGCTTCTGGAGTGACCGTCGGTGGACAGAGGCCATGCAGGACGAGAGCACCCAGGAAAAGCGGCCGTCAAGACGGCGCTAGATGAAATGCGGAGACACGTTACGACATTATGCGAAGCAAGCAGGGCTGCGGTAGTAGGCCAGCGCAGCGGGGAATCGCGCTGGGTGTGCTTCGCACGCCACATGTTTGCTGTGACTCATCGAATGGAGATGACAGCGATGCTTTCTTGGCGTCCTGTCCCCCCGCGGGGCCTCCTCGGAACCAGGACCTTTCGCTTTCGGCGCTCCGTGCGGATTTCTTGGATCCGCGCTGGGGACACCCCCTGGCGGCGCCTCCGGCGCCGTCCCTGGCGAGCTCCGCGCTCCAGGGAGGGAGTCCAGCGCAGATCCAGGAGATCCGCGCGGGGCTCCGGAAGCCGCTCTGTTATTCTGAGGATGACAATGATCGTGCTGGGAGGCAGGGGGTTTGGGAGGATGAAGGGCATGAGCAACAGCATCCGGATGCCAGGCACGATGCCTTCGACCGCCCACGAGCAATGAGATCCTCCTTGCTCCCGGACGCATCCTCCCAACCCGATCGCTGTCTTCCTGAGATCCCTTCGCGGACGGCAGGCCCCCCTCCCGGGTCAGAAGAACATGCCGGAGAGCATCGAGACCATCATGAGGCCCTGCATCGGGTTGGCCTGGATGTTCGCGATGGCGCTCTGCAGGCTGAAGCCCCCAGGGCCAGCGCCGGCCCTCCACGCGAGGCGGAAGCCGGCGGCGAGCCGAAGGGGGGGGGGATGCGAGGAGGGGCGGGCCTTCCCCGAAGGCTCGGCAGTCCCCTGGCCTTCTCGGAAGTTGCCCAAACCTTCGCCGAAGACGCCGAAAACTCGTCAGGAGGCCAGAGGGCTTCTGAGAAGCCCCGCCGCCTGGTGAGAAGGCCTCCTCCTTCTCACTTCCCCCCCTCGCCCGCCGCCGAAGTTAGGGGAGGTCAGGGAAGGGAGCATCGACCAGGAATCGGCGAGACATCGCCGATAGACCGGCGACAGGCACCCGATAGCGAAAACCTGCGTTCCAGGGCGAGTGGGCCATCGGGGCCCCATCGGCGACGAATGGGCGATGGCGGCCGATGCATCCCCCCTGATCGTGCCTCCACCCCTGAGCTCGCCGCCGAAGAAAGAGTCCCCCCACCCCTGGCCCAGACTTCGGGCGGGATGATCTGTTCCGTCGTGAGTGCTTTGAAGAGGCCCCAGGACACGCAAATAAATACACACAAATGAAAATATCCCCCATATTTTCCCATACTGTCTGGGTTTTGGTCTTCCCCCCCACTTCCCATATGGTCCTATATTTTCCTAGGAATCGACGATTAATTGTGTCTGTGTGTTTTTGTTCCCTCCTGATGCTTCTCCGTCTCGGTCTCTGGGGGCCGTGCTTGGGCCAGGGGGGCCTCCCCACAAAAAGGGCTCTCGGACGGGCAGCTGCTCCCCAGGGCATCTCCGGGGCCCGCGGGGTGAGCCACAACTGTACCTCTTAGATGCCTGGGTGTTGCACATAGGCCAGCAGACATGGACGGATCAATAAATGTTTCGGAGGCTTTGAAAGCAAATTGGGTCTCCGCCCGCCCCCTGAAGAGGAGGGAGGAGGGAAAACCGCTCAGCACTCGAAGTCTCGAAGGAGGAAGGCGTTTGACGTAAGTTGGAATGGGCATCGTTCAACCGATCCTTATCCCCACTGGTGTGGCATTGGCCCCACTGGCCGACTTCTCCACCTAGGTGAGAATATATATATATATATATATATATATATATATATATGCCTGCTCCTTCGGGCGTTGCGTGCCACATCTCCACCTGGGAGGGTGGACTGCTGGAGCCGAGATGCCATGTCCCAGTGGAGATGGAGAAAGCTATAGCTTCACCGATGCCGCTGGAGCGACCTCGGCCCGCCCCATGAAGGAGATAGAAGAGGGCACGCCGCCCCGCTCGACACCTGAAACAGGAAGGCGCCTGAGAGCATTGTGGAAAATGGGAGCCTTCAGATGCAGTTGTGAATAACGAAATTGTTGGCAACGGCAACGTCTTCGATGGAGCTCCCTATGGGGCACGAATCGTGTGAGGGGTGTGCCAACATGGGCGCGGTGGTGTCATGCGAGCGCAGCGACTGGGGCCTTCGGCGGAGCTCCCTATATGGCCACGAAACGCGTGAGGGGTGTGCCAACATGGGCACGGCGGTGTCATGCGAGCGCAGCCACTGGAGCCTTCGGTGGAGCTCCCTATGGGGCCACGACGTGTGCCGAAATGGGCGCGGCGGTGTCATGCGAGCGCAGCCACTTGAGCCTTCGGTGGAGCTCCCTATGGGGACACGAAGCGTGTGAGGGTTGTGCCGCAATGGGTGCGGTGGTGTCATGCGAGCACAGCCACTGGGGCCTTCGGTGCAGCTCTCGATGGGTCCACGAAGCGTGTGAGGGGTGTGCCGAAATGGGCGCGGCGGTGTCACGCGAGAGCAGCCACTCGGGCCTCCGGTGGAGCTCCCCATGGGCCCACCAAACGTGTGAGGGGTGTGCCGAAATGAGCGCGGTGGTGTCATGCGAGCGCAGCCACTGGGGCATTCGGTGGAGCTCCCTATGGGGCTACGAAGCGTGTGCGAGGTGTGCCGAAACAGAAACATGCGGAGGGCAGAGGCGAAAAAGGGGGCAGCGGGAGCAGGAGGAGGAGGAGGAGGAGGAGGAGGAGGAGGAGGAGGAGGAGGAGTGGGAACGCGGGGCGCTGTCTCGTCACAACGAGGACACGACAACACAGGACGGTAGGGGAAACAAACCCGCAGAAGGGGCGGCAGGAGGCTGGATGCCTGTCCGGCGGCGCCCGCGCGCGGAGCGAGCACTGGGGCCGGGCCGGCGCTGCCCCAGCCGCGCGAGAGGACCGAGCGGTGGCTGGAGGGAGAGGCGCGCGGCCCGCTTTGTGTTGGCGGCGCGCAGAGGAGGGCAGTGCGGGATGGCGATTAGTCTAAAAAATGGAGAGTACGATCAAAAAAACATAGTTTTCTGCTATGTCTGCACAACTTTCTGCCTGGAAGAGAACGATTCAAAACATAGTTTTCCAGCCCGCGGCCGGTGTGTTCTTATCGTCATCCCGGGCGCCGCCGCGTGAACACGACCCCCGGTCATTTATTACATCCTCCATTAGGGTGGAGGGGGGAAGGCTGCTTGGAAGGGGGCTGTTTCTTAGAAGGCGCCGGCGGGGTCCTTCTAAGAAGCCTTTCCCCCCCTCCCCCCATACCTCCCTCTGCGCGTGGCCGGTTGTGGCCGCGGACTCTCGCTCGGGCCCGGCAGCGTCGCGTGCGCCCGGGTCCCCAGAGGTCCAACGTTTTTGTCTGTGTCCTGGCAGGTTTCTCCGACTTCGGCC